CTCAGGTATCCATACCATCAAGTTTAAATCTCAAAAAATTGGTTGTTCTGAGGTTAAGGAACAGCAAACTCAAATATATTTGGGATGTATCAAAGGTATGGCTGTATATATTTCTTGTTTCGGGTAGGATTATCCTTGACTAGAGTTACTATTTCTTTATATAAACATTAAATGATGCTCATCCTTTTTGCAGGTTCTTAAAAATCTAAAAGTCCTTGATCTCAGTCACTCGCTTGACTTAATTGGAACCTCAGACATCTCAGGTCTTTTAAACATTGAGAAATTGATCTTCAAAGGCTGCATTAATTTGATCGAGGTTCATCAGTCCATTGGCAACCTTAGCAAACTCATTTACCTGGACTTGGAAAACTGCCAGAACCTTGTTCATCTTCCTACAGAGATTTGTAGGTTAAGGTTCCTCGAGAATCTTAACTTGTATCTCTGCTCAAAACTAGAGGAGTTGCCAGAGGATTTTGGGAACATGGAAAGTTTGAAAGAGCTCGATATAGGCTGCAGTGCCATCAAGCATTTACCCATGTCCATTGGCCATCTTAAGAATCTTACAAATTTCTTTTGGAACAATGAGAGATCTTTGCTTGAAAGCCCAGGTACCTATGATTTGTCTCCGCTATGGAGTCTGAATTCAGTAAAAGAATTGAATCTGTCGTTCTGCAAACTATCAGATAATTCATTTCCCAGAGATCTCAGTGGCTCACAAAATTTGGAGACGTTGCTTCTAAGAGGAAATACTTTTCAACACTTACCAATTTTTCTATCAAATTTGCCAAAGTTAAAAAAGCTTGATGTTTCTAAATGTGATCTATCAGACAAATCAGGTCCCTTGGTTGTTGCAAGCCCCTTTTTGCAGGAATTGAATTTAAGCAAAAACAACTTCTGCAGCCTACCAGTTGATCTTACTTCCCTTCCTCTTAAAACCAAGGTTTCCCTACTGCTATGCAATAAGCTCAAAGTAATAGAATTTGAATCATGCACGATATTGATCAGATACCTTTGCGATTCTTTGGAGAAAGTAACATTCAAAGGAGGGCTCAGTGACAGAAGTCTTAGACCAATCTTTGGTAGGTTTTGTGGATTTCCTTCGTTTCCGTACTGGTGCTATGTGAAACCTTTAACTGGCAAGCAACTTGCTAAGTTAGAGCACTTGTTGGGATTGAAGGCTTCGCTAAAGAAGTGCTCGCATTTTTTCAGAGACTTCATACTTACTCGGAGTAAGGATCGTCCCATCCAGGTTACTCTCTTGCTCTCTGTCCTTTTCAAATTTTCCAAAGTTAAGAAGACACAATTCTCATTTTTTTATGTGGCAAGGCTCTTTTTGTTCTTTTTCTTTTTTAAATGAATTGTCCGTGTTGCAGGGTTTTTCTGATTATATGGAGCCGATTTATAACATCTTTCTTCGCGAAGGAACGATGCCCTGTGGGTTTAATCATGAGGATAATGTTGCTTGTACAATTGTAGATGTGCCTCGAGTTTCAAGTGGAAGTTTCCAAGGGCTTGCAGTATGTGTTATTTGTCATATTATAGATCCTGATCTTTCAACTTTAGCTATAACAATAGAGGATGAGGATTTTTCTCGTCACTACCAGACCCGCCTTCCGTGGGACTTTAAGGACCATAAAGGTGGAGTCATGTGGGTCAGCTGTTGGAGAACACCAAGTTTGGTGAATGAATGCAAGAGATTCAATATTAAAGTAGAGACTGACGTTACTGACGGATCTAACGGATCCCATTTCTGGATTGTGAAAAGGATCGGTTTTCGCC